AATTTTGTTTATTTAACACCTACATATTAATTTGTCTATCTACGATTGACACATACACTCGTAACTTAATAATAATTCGTATATTACTAAATATTAATCCGCACCCGCTTCCCCGCTCACTTATTTACAATATATATTACATATTGCAATATATAAACATATATATCATTTAGCAATATGTGTCCATTTCTGTCGGTATGTCGACTATATATATAAAATAATGCAGTAATGTCACACTTTGTCACAGCAATGAACAAGTGGGCAATCACGTTGTTAAATAATTATACAAGACGTGTAATTAATATTGTAATTAAAAATATATATAAAAGCCAATGCAATGCATAATATAATTCTTAATTTCATTTCTTTGGTCATATTAATATTTTAAAACTTATATTTGGACATTGTCATTATAATTACCCCATGTCTTTAAGAAAATAATATATATATATATATATCAATATATTGTTTTGTTGCAATAATATTCTTAAAAGAAACCCGACTCTAAAAAACTAAAGCAAAAACGAGACCAATCAGAAAGTATACTCTTTCAAATCTATTTATAAATGACAAAGTTATGATGTAAGAAACTCTAAAAATATACAGCCATATTGAGACACTCCTCCTCCTTTTTTGGAGTCGGTTAAAAAGTAATATAATATTGATCTCAGGATGCGAGATAGGGTACTAGTAGTCGGCCCCACACCAGTACTCAGCCTTTTTCGGTTTAAAACCAATAGAAATAGCGCTATAACAGAAAATAACTAATCAAATTAGTTTAAATTGCTTCTATGACTTCTCATTGGTAGAATTAAAACCAAACATAATAGCTACGTAAACCGCGAAGTACATTAAATATGAATCTATTTCGACGTCATCGGCTGACGAGGCGACATGCGGCGTGCGCGCCATTTTTTTATTAGTGAGGAGCGTTCACAGAAATGGTAATTTATTTCATTTTTTTGTTAGTTTTAGGCCACATTGTATTAAAATTTACATTAATTAATAGTTTTGGCATTGTAATCAATGAAAAGTATCATGTTTTTCTTAAGAATTATTAAATAATGAAGAGCCGACTACTGGGTTCCATTTTTATATACATTATCTAGTTAAGGTTGACTACTGGTTTTAACGTGTGTCAAAAACTCAATAGTCGGCGTAAAATAGTTAAGTTTGTTACCTGGCTGAGTACTGAGAAAGTAGACCCAGTATTCAATCCATATTTAAATTGTTTTTTATACAAAAAAAAGAAAAAAAAAGCAGATCTAGATTCTACCAAAAGTAAAGTGAAGGAGACTACAAAGAAGAAAAATTATGAATATGATAAGGAATTGATGCACAAAGACAGGCTGTGATTTAGTGGAAATCAAAAGAAAATAAAATTAAAATTTTCAGTAATATATATCTCCTAAAACTCCTGACACAGAAACCTGTAAGAAAGATAAGCTCCTAAAAAAATTGTTAATCGGCGACTTTTACAAAGAAGAAGAAGAAGAACTTATAATCTTTTTAAATACTGATGTTACTAAAGAAGTTTCCGACTGATTTAAATATAAGTTAGATAGGTATTTGATTGTTGTGATTGTTAGGGCACAGTTAAGTCCTTTTAGGTTCTATGACCGGACTAATTGTTTATTAATGTTCTTAATCTTTAAGCTTAAAACTATTGATCTTAAGAGAGGCTGACCACTGGTGGCAATATGGCTGAGTACTAGTTTTTGGCGGCTGAGCACTGGTGAAAAGTGCCTTATTTTGTTAAAAAGTATTTTTCACTTTATTAAAGGATAAATTTGTAATTTTTGTTAATTTTGTAACAAAGTTTAATAAATGAGTAAGTTAAATTATACAAAAGACTTTCAATTTACTCTTTCTAATATTTTCTTATATAAGTTTGAACCCAGACTTACCACTAAAAGGCTGACTACTGGTGCCAGTACCCTACTATCAAAAGATATTGCCCACAAAAAATGAAAACTTTCCTTTCTAATAGATGGAAAACTTAAAAGCACTAAACCGCTGTTAAAATACTTGTTTGAAGGGTGCAAAACTGCATAGAAATTACTTAGCATTACGTAAGTTTTTAATAAGTACAAAGTTCGAATCTAAATATAATAAAAGCGCTATAGAGCTTTTAAGTTGCTTGTTTGAAGTGTGCAAAATTGCGTAGAAATAATTTAGCAGTACGAGAATCTAAATATAATATAATGGAGGACCGAGATACCGACAGAAATGTTATCGCGAAATGCATCAAGGCAGATTAATACAAAAATAAATATTTATTATATTGGCACCGCTGAACACTAGCCATCCGAATCAGTCACAATACCATGGAACGGCTCTTTGTATACGCTAAAATAGGACGCTATTAGTATTCTAGTAAGGTCAAGTATTGCTTACTCTTTCAACTGTTAGCTGGCCAAATGACATTAACGCTCCATCTGTGAGATCAATTACAGGACTTTTCACAGATGGGGCTATAGTGTCCTAGTCCAATAATTGGCTCCATCACAGATGGGGCTATAGTATCCGACACCAATAATTGGCTCCCTCACAAATAGGGCTATAGTATCCGAGACCAATAATTGGCATCCTCACAAATGGGGCTATAGTGTCCGAGACCTATAATCGGCTCCCACACAGATGGGGCTATAGTATCCGAGACCAATAATTGGCTCCCTCACAAATGAGGCTATAGTGTCAGAGTCCAATAATTGACTCCCTCACAGATGGAGCTATATTGTCCGAGTCCAATAATTGACTCCCTTACAGATTAAGCTATATTGTCCGAGTCCAATAATTGGCTCCTTCGCAGATGGGGCTATATTGTCCGAGTCCAATAATTGGCTCCTTCGCAGACAAGACGTTAACTAGTTAAATAAAAGTTAGTTGCATAGAAAACCCACAGAAGAGCAATAAAATTTATATCATATATAAACACTTTGTACTTTGTCATAATAACAACTAATCCATAGCAATAGAAACATGTTTAGCGTTCTCAATAATATCACTATGACAAAGTACTAAAAATATACCAATAAATAGTTTTTCAAAGACAAATATATCACTTTAAGTTTCTTTATACATTGACATAAGTGCATTGTCTAATTCTCTATCTGTATGTCTGTATTTTAGCCGTTTATGGCATAAAATCAAATGTCACTAACCAGTGTGGGGATCGCCCTAAACTGTATTTACATATATGAGACCACCATTCCTTTGCTCAATACTAGAATACTAGTAACGTTTCTATTAATCTATTATTATAAATGTCCCATTGCTAGCAAAAACCGATCGTATTCTACATTAAATAGTGGCTATATTTATATATCAGAAGCAAATTACTCATATACAAGGAAGAAAGCAGAATTGTCGTAACTAAAAACCCATCTTTACATCAGAGCCTAAAAACAGTGGGCTAATTATCTAACATCGTTCGCAACGATTTTCGTATGTAACGTAGTGAAAATGACGTCATCTGTCAATAATGCGATTATATTGACGCCATTTGACGCTGTCACCTAGCATAAAATATGTCTATCGAATGTCGATTTAGTAACCTCGTTGCAATGTCACAGAATCGCGATTTTGCCAACTTTACAGCCGTTTAAAAATTTCATTACTCATTTATTTAGTTAACTTCAATACACAAAAATAATGTGTACATATGGCGGACTTAACACCGTGCGGCGTTATCTACCAGGCAACCATGAGTGGTGCAGAGAAATATTTTTGACATGTCACAAAAATATATATAAATTTCTATAAAAGTAATAAATATATGTATAAATATTGAATGATCTGACATTCAAATTATAATATAGAATATATTTATCGAGATAGAAAGTTGAAAATGGGTTAAATACATAACAATTCTCAAATTTCTATCTTGATAAATACCTATATGAGTTAAAAATTATTGACATAAAAGATTTTTTTTATAATGTTGGGATTTTCAAGTTGTGATAATTCCACTTTCTTATGTTAATATATACGTATGTATAAACTAAAATCAATAAACTAACAGTTTTTACAAATAATAATTAAATAAAGACTCCAAGAAGATATTTTTGGAAAATAAATATGACAATATTAAGTTTTCAACCTTTTTCAGTACTAAGAAGAGGCATAAACTAATAAATTAATTAATGCATTATGCATATATTTTGTTATTTAAGTATGCATTATTTACAATAAAAAAGAAAATAGCACCAAATTTGAGACATAATTTACCGAATTGTGTTTAAAAATGTACTTACTGCAAAACATATAAATATATTAACAAAACAATTATTAATAAAACTGAAACTAGTTTTATTCATAATTGTTTTGTTAATATATTTATATGTTTTATTTACATAAACAAACTACTTGATGGTATGAATGTTATGAATTTGTTCTAACCTTACTTAACACCCTCGCATCAAGGTATAAATCATATAATATATAATAACTATACATGTTCTTAATGTGGATGAACAATTATCTGCCATATTCCTTTTAGTGCATGTATTATACTACAAAAACATGTAAAATACATTAAGAAATACATATACATAAATCTTAAACGTGTATATAGTATACCAAATATATTTCTTCGTATAATAACGTACAGAAGGTAATAGATTTATGAATATTTCTGTGCAAGTGAAAGGGTCTAAATGCATATCTCAGTAGATATATACATATATCCTTACATAGTATAAAACAAACCAGCTGTCTGTTCGCTTATATCTTTTAAATTACGCAACGGGTTTAAATGCAATCAGCAATAGATAGAGTGATTCAAGACGAAGATTTATATATATAATACATGCGTGTTACAGTACAGAACAAGTCGAGAAATTCAAAGATTTGTAACGCATCTGTGCGAAGCCGGGACGGGTACCGACCCGTAGTCAGTTATAAACTTGTGAAATCAAGTAAGATAATGCAAAAGGAGTCTTAATATCAACCCCATATGCATTATTTATGCAGAGCAAGACGTAAGTGAAAAGCTGAACGTTTCAGGCGTATATAAACTACCTTAACCATTTTGGCAACAGACAGGCCGTATGTATACAAATACACTAAATTAGATAGTATATCTGATTCTGTTTGAATAAAAAAATATACTGGATATTTTATCCGCAGAATACTATCATAGTGGCACCCCGTCACAACATATGCTGAACGGAGACCTATATAGTACCAAAGTAATCCAACATGCAAGTTAAAAATTTATTTTCTTTCTTTCTAATATCTGATTTTGAGCGAATAGTTTAAGGTTACTCGCTAGCAATGGGTTAACTATACAACTTATCCTCTAAATAAATTATAACTACATGATATAAGTCCACTAGTGGCGTTTACTCCCTGTGGGATCCCACATGTGAAGTTCCTCGCTGCTGTCAGAGCTTGTGCTGTAACGTTACAGTTGAGACTTATATTCTTTGCAGCGGTCGCTACCTTGGATATGGTTGCATCTTCCAATGGGGAGAAGATATAGCTACCCCATGTTGGGTACGCACCCCAGACGATGAGGGTTGTTATTATTTTGGGGCCGATACCACCGATGGCCTGCAATGAAGGTGGGTATATATTTTATTCACATTTTGCACTAGATACGGAAAAAAAATTACATAAACTCAATACAAAATGGCGGTCTTATCGCTAAACAACCTTAACTCTTATGAAATTTACAAACAAATCTTAACATAAAAAACTTGGCCTGTCTAGAACTGCAGTGGGCTCTATACTAGAACGTGTATCTAAAGCTGCACTAACAGGCTTCTACTAGAGCTATTAGAGAAATACTACTGGTGCTATGGCTGGGCAATGAGAGAAACAAGAGTGAAGGTGAATATTGACGTCGGCAAAGATTCAAACACCCGGGTCACAAGTCCCGGGAACTACACGGAGTTTCCCTCTCTCTCACGGTAAATCAATGAAACACTAAGAAGTTCGTCACTCTCAAACCTTCAGCAATGGTATTTCTTAGCCAATACAATATTAAATCTTTCAAGATAAGATCTTATTCCTTCTTAGAAAGCCAGCAACGTACAATTCCCCTGGTATTGCGGGTGCTCATTGACGACGGTAAACATTTACCATCAGGTGAGCTGCGAACTCCTTTGTCCCCTGTACTATAATAACAATCAGTGTATTCACCATCTTGACGAATTCAATGTCAGCTGTTTTCAAACATACCATTACGACTTCGTTCTTCTCATCATAAGAAAGTGTGTACTCAACCTAGCCAAGTTGAGCCGCAATCTCTTTTGTCCCCTGTACTATAATAACAATGGCTGTGCTCACAACCTTGGCTGTGGGTATGTGGAATTCAATGTCAGCTGTTTTCAAACATACCATCCACTACTTATCCCAGATAGGTTCATAATAAGAATGTATGTACGCAGCCTAGCCAAGTTGAGTCGTAATCTCTTTTGTCCCCTGTACTATAATAACAATGGCTGTGCTCACAACCTTGGCTGTGGGTATGTGGAATTCAATGTCAGCTGTTTTCAAACATACTATCACTACTTATCCCAGATAGGCTTATAATAAGAATGTGTGTACGCAGCCTAGCCAAGTTGAGCCGCAATCTCTTTTGTCCCCTGTACTATAGCGCCGATGGGTGTACTCACCATCCTTGCGGTGGGTATGTGCGCGACGCCGGCCACTATAGCATTGGGCGGGGTTCCGACCGGCATGTGGAACGCCATCGAGCACGCCAGCGTGGCCGGCACCATCAGGTATCGAGGGTCCATTCCCAGGGACCGCGACTGTAATACACATTTATTTTAATGGATGGCAAAAGCTTACGGCCCACCTGATTGTAAGCGTCCTTGTTCGGGTTGTACCGTAACTATAACTGGTAGGTGTTAATAGAAAAGATACATTAGAACTGAGATAAGCTTGCCCTTATACATTACATTTACCTCATTACCTATATGTGTACAATCATAAAAAGTATAAAACAAAGTCGCTGTCGCTGTCTGTCCGTCCCTATGTATTCTTAAATCTTTAAAACTACGCAACGGATTTTGAAGCTGTTTTTTTTAATTGATAGAGTGAGATTCTAGAGGAAGGTTTATGTATACAATACATGTACACCCAGACAAAGCCGGGGCGAGTAGCTAGTAAATATTTAAACTGTATATTAAATAATAATAATAATAATAATAATAATAATAATAATAATAATAATAATAAAACTCTTTATTGTGCATAAAAGAAACAAATAATTACAAAAAGGAAATTAAAAGTGATTAACGTTAAATGAGCACACGAGGAGTCCTCGATAACCAAATGCAAACTGATTATCTAATATTTATTCCCTACTAATCCTTTTTTCGCATTAACAAGTAGCCTATGTCCTTTTCTTTACGTTTACATTCAGCCACTTCCCCTGCCACTCGCGCTGCTGTAAATATTGCCGGGCGACAACTGAGCGAGAGGGGTGAATGTAAAAACACGCTGCCAGTCCTTTGACTCGCGCACGAAAAACCGACAATCGAGGGAGCGCCGGGCAGCGCGAGTGGCAGCGCCAATGGCATGGGAAATACACGCGCTGCTCACTTCCCTGCCCACTCGGGCTGAGTGTAAACGTAGAATTATGCTACGTTACTACAGTACTATGTTACGTAAGGATATTTATAATTCACATATGCTTACCATATTAGCGAGGACGGGAAGTATGAGATTCGCAATGGCGACGTTAGAGGTGAACTCCGTGATGAACTGCGTGACTAGCACCACGACCAGGAGTACGAGGGCTGGCGGTAGACCGTGGAGACTGACCAGCGAGCCGCCGATCATAGACGACAGTCCTGTAGCCTTGCTGCCTTCCGCGAGCGCGAAACCACCACCTGAAATATCATCACCATCACAATAGCTTTCATTCACTTATGAACTTGGTTTAGCACACCGCCTTACTTCCGATGGTCGCGGGTTCTATCCCTTGCACGATACAAACATTTGTATTCGTGTGTTTGCATGTCATGTCTGCATTATTATTTCTATTGGTATGAGTGTTTTCTGTATGTATTAACAAAAAAATGTATTTAAGTATCAACTCCACACAATCCTCATACAATGCCCTGCGTATACAATATAATAATGGTTCCAGGATATTGATGAGCCTGCTGTGTTGCTAGTGTGTCTGGCATCTTCGCTCTTGCACGAAGAGATGTTACAGTATAAACTATAACACGATAGAAAAAAATCTGCATCTTTGAACTCGCGACTATGAGAAGTAAGGTGGTATTCTAATCCACTAGACCACTAGGCCATCATCTACCTAAATATATATAACTCAAAGGTGATTGACATAGCGATCTATCAACGCACAGCCCAAACCACTGGACGGATCGGGCAGAAATTTGGCATGCAGGTAGTTGTTATGATGTAGGCATCCGCTAAGAAAGGATTTTGATTAATTCTATCCGCAAGGGGATAAAATAGGGGATGAAAGTTTGTATGAAACTTTGTCAATTTTAAACCGTTCGGGCTGAGATTTTGCATGCATAAAGCTACTATGACGTCTAGTATTTATAATTTTTTTTTGATATTTTCGTGGCGATTAACGTGTTAAAAATTGCTTATATTACGTTTACTTGATATATATAATTTCTATTTAGAAAGAAAGATAGAAAAATATAATTATTTGGCGCATACAAAACAATCATACAATATATTAGAATAATTAAATTAATTATTTTAAAAATACAGCTACGACCAAATTGGTTTCCACTCAGCTTTGTGTCTGGGCTGTAATAGCCAAACGCTGATTTTCTATTTCTATCTCTAGAATTGACACATACCTAGTAAGAAGAGGAGTCCCCATGGCACCTTATCCTTCAAGATAGCCCAAGTCACGATACCAGGAGACGCCTTCGTTGCAGCCAACTCTTCGTCTGAAATAACATTCAATACAAAGTCTGAATTATTAAACGAAAAATAGCAGAAAAGAGCGGAAGGAAACCCGAAGATTGTCGTTACTTAATGAATTGACGACCTCGGTAGTGTAGTGGTTTAGCACACCGCTTTACGACCGATGGCCGCGGGTTCGTTTCCTCGCACGGCACAAACATTTGTATTCATGGGTATGATATGATTGTTTGTATCGGTCTGGGTGCTTTCTATGTATATAATGTATGTATGTATTTACAAAAAAAAATCTATGTATTTGTATCAGTTGTTTAGTACCCATAACACAAGCTTTAGTTAGCTTATACTTGGCTTATAAAAATATATATTTTGTATAATTCCGCTACAATTAGTATGTGTGAGACCACAAATATTCGGTGTGGAAACTTGACTAACGTTAGGCCTTTCTCTAATGGTGATCAAATTCCGACCGTCATTGAATCTACACTCATATTGTATTACTCTGTTTGCTATTCATTACCTGATGTCTCGTTTAGAGGCAAAACACGTATCTTAATAGGTTTATATATCCGATAACGGTCGACTTTTGATTTGTAGTGGGGATGGTCGTAACATTCCGAGTAGAGGTGGTCAGGTTTCCACACTAAATGTTTGAGGTCTCACACATGCTAATAGTAGTGGAATTAAACAAAATAATACAAAGATGTTAAGCAATAATAATAATAATAATAAATACTTCCACTTAAAAATTATCCATCCTCATCATTCATCATTTATACTATCATTGTTTGGTGATTTTTACCCGCAATGATCAGTCTATTACCCCATCAAATGAGATATATAATATATATATAAAAAAAAAAAATAATAATTGGCATGTCCCGTGCTCGCTACTAGTCACCAGCTTAAGCTGCGAAAATGAGAATAATAATTATTATTATTTTTTTTTTTATATTATTTTTTCTCGACTTTCGCCGGTAATCTTGGTATGTACGGGCCTAAGCCAAGTACATAACAATGTTCTATATCAGGTGGATATACCATAATGCAAATGTAGGCCTAATCTGTCTGTAGAAACTTTCTAACAATGCGGCATGTGTTTAGAACTACAGCCTTCTGTAGTTGGCAGTATTATTATTATAGCTTCCTAAATATCACAGAGTGAACCATCCATTAAAATAGAGTAACGAGAGACTTGGCATGTCCCGTCCTCGCTACTAGTCACAAGCTTAAGCTTAAGCTGCGAAAATGAGAATATAATAATAATAATAATCATCTTTATTTGTCATAAATAATAAACTATTATAATTGGTGCTTATAATAAAATTTAGAATTCATAATCGAGACAAAACTCACTGCCCCCTCTGAGTTATAGACCATAACTCAGAGGGGGCAGTGAGTCCACCCTCTCTGTTATTCTGTTATAGCCTTTATTACTAAATTATTCAATAAAAGATCGACAACATCGATAGCACTTAAATTCTAAACTCTACTAACCAAGTAACCATAAAAATATGACAAAATTACAAACTAATAAAATTCGACAATAACAAAATTAAATTAATCCATACATATAAATAAAATTGGAGTGTCTGTTTGTAATATTGAAATAACCGTTTCTTACTACATGCATATGAATATAAATACGCTACATACACCAAAATAACATTTCTTACAATTTTTGTCTGTCTGTCTGTTTGTTCCATCTAATCTCTGAAATGGGTGGACCGATTTTGACGGGAGTTTTTTTGGCAGGTAGCTAATGTAATAAGGAGTAACTTAGGCTACTTTTATTTTAGAAAAGTAAAGTTAAGTTCGGGGACAGCAAGTATGTTAATAAAATGAACCTCCGTAAAATAACACCTAAGTCAATAAAATAGTTTCCTTTCATAAAAAAAAATACTCACATGATGAGGATGACGTGAAGAACTTCAAGAAGTCCACGCACATAGGTATTATGAACATGAGCACCACTATGAACATCGAGGTAACGCCATCCTTCACTTTCCTGAAAACCATAAATACAATATACATTAGTCGGCGATAAAAATGACTGCCACGATGGTCTAGTGATTTAGCACACTGATATACTTCCGATGGTCGCGGGTTCGATTCCTCGAGTGCAAACATTTGTATTCATAAGTATGATTGTTTGTATTGGTCTGAGTGTTTTCTATGTATATTATGTATCTAAAAAATTATAAAATATAATTTTGTTATTATTTCGAATTACATAAAAAAATCACACTTACATGCTGGTCATGACATCAGCCCATCCAGGAATGAATCCTGGCTTCCTGAAGATGTACAGGAACACGGCCAATATGAACAACAAGCCCGACGACTGAAACAACATCATGTTGTATGTTAATAAAGAAAAAATGTACCAGTTGAGTTTTCTGCTTCTAGTTTTGTTGTGTTCTAGTTCTTCTTATCTTATATGTAAAATTCTCGTATGTTAGTTGCCATACTCCTCCGAAACAGCTTGACCGATTTTTATGATATTTTATATGCATATTGTAGGTCTGAGAATCAGCTACTATCTATTTTTCATGTGGAAATGGTTGTCCAACCCTTTCATTTTATTTTTATTTTTTGGTCATTTTTTATCTTTTTATAATGTAGTTTAAAAAAAAATCTCTATAATTTCACCCTTCTATCACCGATCGCTATTTTTTAATAGCGATTTTAATTTTTATGGCAAAACAACGTTTGCGGTAAGCTAGTACGTGTATATTCTTTATTAGTAGAAGCAGAATTGGATGGATGGATTAATGTATATATAGGTAGTATTTAATAACATTTTATTATGAAGAACATAATGAGACAGTATATCTGGAGAATACTTTTAGTAGTCTTATATTATTTTCCATCGCAATTTTAAAATTTAGGGGCTTTTTTTTCAAATTCACATTCAAAATATCTTTATTCATATAGGTCTACTAGCTTTTGCCCGCGGCTTCGCTCGCGTTAATTTATCCCCTTAGGGGTGGAATTTATCAAAATCCTTTCTTAGGGAAAGCGTACGTCATAGTAGCTTTATGCATGCAAAGTCTCAGCCCGATCGGTTTAAAATTGACAAAGTTTCATACAAACTTTCATCCCCTATTTTATCCCCTTGGGGGTAGAATTAATCAAAATCCTTTCTTATCAGACGCCACCGTCATAACATCTACCTGCATGTCAAATTTCAGCCCAATCCGTCCAGTGGTTTGTGCTGTGCGTTGATAGATCACTATGTCCAGTCACCTTTGAGTTATATATATATATATATATATAGATTACAGACTCTTCTGATATGTCAAATCTACCGTCAGTTCAGCATGATTTCGAGATGAGAAGAACTGGCAAGAATCTTGGCTCATATTCTTTTCAAATAAATGTACATTTACAATAATATAGATTCATTTTGTACAATCTATAAATACATGCCAGTTCCATTGTACCCTAAAACTAATTACTCCATTACCTCACCAGTGAACAAACTGCCTTAGCCGCACTATCTGAAGGATCGGCTAAAACAGTTTATGTCACCAACATCTAATATATTTATTCTATAATCTTACGTTATTGTACGTCGTAGACTCTCGTTCCTGACACACTCCATCAGCAAATGATATATATCCTATGTACCACATACTTCACAATTTTGTGAATTGCTTTTTTACATCAGATATGCAAAACTTTGCCGATGGATGATGTCCAGACCAGTGTCTATGCATTTTTACAATGTACGCTGTGTTATGTGTATCCCTCACATAATTGCACCAAGGACCAGGGAAGGTTCTTTTTATATAGTGCTGTACTAAATGCCCTTAGAATCAGACATTATCAAAATGGGATCTCCATTTCTCAAATACAATTCTTTTAAATTTCTACATAACTAAATAATTATGAATAAAAAAATATTGACTCACCTTTTCGTGGAATGTAGTTGGCCCTAGGTTCCTGTATTGCTCCCTGATGACCTTCATTGTGGTCATTGAACCAGATGACGCCATATTGACCTGCTGGGCCGCTTCGCTGTTGGGCCTGAAAATAAATAGAAGTACTTCGATAAAAGTATAATATGGATATGGGGAGGAGATTGTTAGCAATAATAATAAAACTGGCCAACAAAAACATAAAAATTGTTTGTTTCCTTTGATTTTTTCCGTTTATACCTCGAATTAACGCATATTCTTTGAATATAGCAACAATTTTTCTCTCACAGATTTGTTTTTGAGTTACAGCTCACTTCCCTCATTTACTATGTTCAATTTAGATTTGCGTTTTTTATTGGACACTGACATATATTTTGCTGTTGTTTTCGATATGGCTTCGTAAATAAGATGTTGTGTAATTAATCCCAATGTTTTTGCTATATTTGTGGTGATTATGTATATGTAATATACCAAAAACCTATACTGCACTCGATATTTTTTCGTTAAAATTATAAAACTATGCATGCACATGTAAAAAAATGATGCTATTAGCAATCTCCCAGTATTTTTTTTCATACTAAAAACACTCAAATATAAAAAAAAATTAAGGAAACAAAACTTCTGTTGACCAGTGTAATGTCTCAATTATTCCCCTCCGATCGATCCTCCGTCCAATTCAAACGAGGATCGAAATTACGACGTTCTGAGCCGAGGTTCGAACTCCTAGCGGTGTCCTCAGACTAAAGTCGTATCCGTCAGGCGTGAGTTAACCTTCAGCGGCTCCATAAGTCCTTCCACGGGTTTGGAGTGCCATCAGCAGTTGCCCCCTATCTTCCGGTTAAGCTGTTGTTGCCTTTACAAAAATATTACTAACCGGAACATTCCCATGAAGGTGACCTGCAGGGCGATCCAGATGAGGATTTGCATCAGCAGCATGGGAGGCATGCTGTAGACCATGAACCAGAAGAAGTTCACCGATCCAGAATACTGTGGGAACTCACTGTAAAGTATCAAATATATACATTAAAATTTATAAAACTTACGAAGTCATTATATTTCTAACTACATTTGCCCGCGGTTTCGCTAGTATGGAATTTATAGCCTATGTGTCATTCTGATGCCATATTATTGTAAATCTACAATTTTATTAAAATCCACTCTGTAGTTTTTGCGTGAAAGAGTAACAAACATCGTCGTACTTTAATACGATTTTTTTTTAAATATTCATGCTTTATTGGTAGGAATCTTTTCTTCTAAAAATTTGTATTTTATTAGTACGATTTTTTTTCATTACAGTCAGTAAAAACTAGGTCGAAAGGGATGGTCGACGTTTCAGACTAGTTACCAGTATAAAAAAACGTTGTTTATTCTTTTTAATTTTTTTTTTTTTTTTACCTAAGAAAGGGTCTCAAAATTTGTCATTTCTGAAAAGTAAATATTGAAGTATACTCACGAGTCAAATATGCCCTTGAAAGCGGAGTTGGTGGCGGTACCGACCAGGGTGCCACAACCGCCCAACGTGGAAGCGTACGCGATGCTCAGGTAGTAGCAGATGGTAATGTTGCTCGGTATAGGGGCCCTGCCAACGATTACCACTCACGTCAGTAACTTTAATTATTTGGCCTCGCCGAATAGAGGGAGATATTTTTCTCTCTTCTTTCAACTCACAGAGCGCCATCAAATGTTAAGCTAAGTAGAGATTGTGTTATGGGACTAGACACCTCATACAAATACTTAAATATTCAAAAGCTAATATCTATAGAAAATCAGCATTACTAACAATTCCATTTCCCCCTCTAGATATAATATAATAATCTAATATAATAATCTCAGGTACACAGCGCCATCTAGCCCAAGTAGCAATGGTTATGGCCATCAAATACATAGATTTTTTTTTTCGTCATTACTAACAATTCCACCATCGGACGTTGTGCCCCTAGACCACCGAGGTCTAGATATAGACGATCTTCCATCATATTGTTTAAACGTTGATACGTCACGACTCCAATTATGTCTTTAATTTGATTGATGACTGTGCCTTGGTCACCTTCACCCCCTCTTTTCTTCTTTCCCTCAATAATAACTTTCATAAATTCATTGTGCCGTATCAAGTATCCTAACATTTTATTTTCCCTCGTCTATTTTCTATAGTATGGAATATCTTTTTACTTTCACCGACTTCTTCATTTCTTACTTTATCCTTCCAACTAATTATTTCCATTATTGTGTTTAATAGAATTTAAAAAATATTAAAACGCTATGACGCACAATTGTGCGCACTAAATTTCACACACTATATCGCGCGCGCTGGCTCTCTCTCTCTACGCTAAATGGCACATGCTCATGATCGCTTGTGAAAGAACGTGTCGTGTAATGGCAGCTATGATCAAGATTGTGTCATAAAACAATTACACGTTCAATATGCATAATAGGATTAAATAAACAGATACTCACTCCTCTTCGTCTTTTACTGGTTTCACTTCCTTCCCGTTCTCTGGTGCTGGATTCTTCTTTCTATTTGTGTACACGTCACCGAGACCTTGCTGTAAATACGATAAACTCATTAGATGCATTGACAAAAAGTTAAACAAATCAATATTTAGCAAAATATGTATTGAAATGTGCACGTCTGGACGATTTTTTGTTTTTATTACTATTTTTTTATACATTGAGAGAAGTTACGAAGTGATATTAATTAACGCTTCCAGTAACAATGGTCAGCTTTCCGCACTGAATAGGGTTTTCGATCGTATTACCCCTGTAAAAAGGGAGGTACATAATATATATATATATATATATATATATCCCATCAAAAACATAAATGTGAAATGATAGCCGAGTTTAATAATATGATATATGCCTTGATTGTTGACTTCTACGACAAAAGAGATGAGATCTAAATGGGTGCCAAGTTCAATGGTCTGTCCTGAAATGTATTTATAACAATATAAAATATCATTTCTTCTTATAACTCAGGATAATATACTGTAGCCTAAGTTCTTCACCTAATTACCTATCTGCATGCCATATTTGAACTTCCTAGGTCATCTGGAAGTGGGTTATAATTTTGATCTATAGTTGATCAGTGATAAAAATGACGATTTTTGGACATTAATATCTAAATAACCTTTTGAGATATGTTTATGAAATTTGGAACACATATTTATCTCGCAAGTCTCAATATATGAACCAAATTTGACAGGTTTGTGTGAAAGAGTTTTTGAGTTATGAGGGGGTCAAAAGTGGCTCCAAATGGTTCGTGTAAATATACACACGGTGCTGCTTGCCAGTTTACTTGAAACTCGGCTTGACACGCTACCGCGTGTCTAGATATCGATAGATATAAATATAAAATAATAATAATAATCTTGATATGAATACTAGTTTAATACTGTGACTTCACAAAATTTGTTACAGTTACAAATACCTCATTATATAGGAAGTAACTAGCTGTACACGCGACATCGTCCACATGGAATTTAACTTTATTTTTCTAAAATAAATGTAGCCTAAATTACTCCTTACTACATCAGATACCAGCCAATAAATGTCCCGTCAAAATCGGTCCAGCCATTTCAAAGATTAGCCGGACAAACAGACAGACAGACAAGTATTGTAAAAAATATATTTTGGTGTATGTATCGTATTTATATTCATAGTAAACAACGGTTATTTGAATATTACAAACAGACACTCCAATTTTATTTATATGTATAGATAATAATAATCTAGATACGAATACTAGTTTAGTACTGTGACTTCACAAAATTTGTTACAGCTTTGTGAAACTCTGTGGCAGTACAGTGAAATATATAAATGGGAATAATTATATACCTCATTATGGTGAAGTTATATACATAATAGAATTAGTGCTAATTGGTGGTTTGTATTCACACACTTAAACTTAAAAGTGTAAAGTAATAATAAAATCATTTAAAAGAGCAACACGCAAATTTCTTGCACGTTCTTCTTGTGATGAGCTTTCCGAACGAGCGGTAGATTAAAAAAATGTAATGACTATTCAAAAGTGCTTCAATGTAAGTTTATTTGAATAAATGATTTTCTATTCTATTCTATCTATAATATATTAACTAACCTGTTCAAGTACTTCTAGAATGGCCTCCACGATGGGCACCATCATAGTGGTAGCTGCAGCGTTCGATACCCACATCGATATAAACATAGTAACAAAAGTCAGGCCAAAATTCAGTCTGAAATATTAATAAAATATATTTTTTTACATTACTTAACATTAGTAGCATAAGTTTTACAAATATTGAAGGCCATCGGAGCCTAGCGGTACAGCACGCTTTACTTCCGCTTGCCGCGGGTTCGATTCCTCCCTCGGCAAAAACATGTTGTCCTCATGTGTATCGTTGTTGGCGCTATGTGAATTGTCCTGGATTATTATTATTTCAGTATACTTGAGAAAATATTAAATTTATAAAGCAATATCTCATTACAATTACAGCATAATAATAATAAATAATAAACTCAGGACAATTCACTCAGCGCCATCTAGTCATAAGCTAAGCAGAGCTTGTATTATGGGTACTGGAAAACTGAAAAAATACTTTTTTTTAAATACATACATAACATACGTAGAAATCTACAACAACGATACACATGAAGACAAAATGTTTTTACCGTGGGAGGAATCGAACCCGCAGCAAGCTGTAGTAAAGCATGACGTTAAGCTAGCTAAAGCTTGTGTTATGGGTACTAGATAACTGATACAAAACTCCTCCAAAACGGCTTGACCGATTTTGATGACATTTTATATATACATTGAATATGTAGGTCTGAGAATAGGTTTATAACTTTTTTTATACCGCTAAGTGTTATGGGTGTTACAAAAAAAACATTATTTGGCCATTTTTTTTTATCTTTATTTTTTTATTATTTGGAATTCAAAAATACATACAGCGTTAAATTTTCACCCTTCTACAACCAACCCCTATTTTTAAAAAGTGATATTAATACTTAAATTTATATGGCAAAACAACAAACAACAAAAAGCCATGACAGCTAGTTATTTATAAAAAAATACACTGACCTTCTATGCGAACATCCCACCACCTGCACAGTCCACAGAGCGACCCTTTTCGGCAACTTGGAATGCTGGACTCCAGCAGCTATCATCAGCCCACCCATGAACATCATGTTCGTCTCCTTCATGTAGGATGCACAGGTCTTATCCGAATCTAGGATACCCATGGTTGGGAATAAGACGATTGGCAACATCGAAGTGACAGGCAGCGGTAGGAGTTCCAACACCCAATAAGTTGCCATTATGAGTACCACGTACATACATCTGTATTCCTGGAAATTGAAAAAGGATTGGCCTGATTTTTTTTATGGATGATAACGGAATGATGTACCTGCTTGTGCTAACGGTTTACGCTGACGGAGCACTAGTGGAGAATGATAAAGTGAGCATAAAGTCCATTTTGGCAAATGGCAATTTACCACAATGTTTCCTATGGGGGAACCCAGTGAAGGACAACCTGACATTATGAATAAATTATATTAATTTTGTCTTTGAAAAAAGTTATTCTCTTGGTCATTAGAATCGAGTTGCATTAAAGGAAGACTGGTCATGTCGAACGGGAAACTAGTAATAATAATATCTAAGGACAATTCACACATCGCCATCTAGTCCCAAGTCAAGCTACCTAGAATTTGTGTTATAGGTATACTAGACAACTGATATGAATACAAAGATATATTTTTTTTTGTAAATACATACATATTACATATAGAAGCTTCCAAGCCGATACAAACAATCATACTCATGAATACAAATGGTTATACCATGTAAGGAATCGAACCTGCGACCATCGGAAATAAGGCGGTGTGCTAAACCGCTAGACCACCGAGGCCGTAAAATACAATATACCTATATACATACTAATATAATACAAAATAAAACTTACCGCTCCGCGATTCAATATAGGAATAGGTAATAGAATTAGTGGAGTAAACACCACCAGGAGGCTCTTCCAGTATATAGAAAAGAAGAGGTTCAACCGTTGCCATAGCGATGCGCTGGACCTACTTCTGGAAAAAAAATAAGTCGTCCCGCTGGAAAAAAGAACAAACACACACATTATAAGACCTGTTGGAGACCCGGTGTGCTGTTAATGAACTGAAAACATACAGTTGTAAGCAACAAGAATAAAAAAATAACAGATCGAGCAGATGCAGGAAAGAGGTAAGGTTTATATTTTTGTTTTATTATAGAGGATGAAAATATAAATATATAAAGATATAATATACAATAACAATTTAACTGAGCGCTATCTGTATATGGCAATGTCTTCCAATAATAGTTATTCTCATGTATCTTATATGAGAATAACTTAACGAGGGACATTATGAACCAAATAGAATTTAATCCAAAACTATGTTTGTTAGAATATCTGTCTGTTTTTCTGCGCGTTTGTGCATATTAATGTCATAAACGGCTTAATAAATTTTCGAGTAAGTATGAACATTTAGTGGTTGTTTTTTACAAACTAATAAATCATTAATATAATATATTTTATATAAAAGTAGGCTGTTGGATTGCAATATATGTTCAATAAGTTTATACCTCTTGCCTGTTTTAAACATTAAATTTAAAATAGATTTTACCAATATTTATAAGACAAAAAATACATTTTAACACAGGAATAATCTTAAAAAGTGTAAACAAAAATAACATGTCGAAACTCAATCAACGATGTTAATATTTAAGTTTCATGAACACTTTGTTCCATATAACTGGAATGATAATCTGTGATGATTCACTTGATAAGAAGTCACAACCATCACTTATGAGGACATGAACAGTATACATTCTCATGTGACATGCCATTTTTGAGGACTAACATATCATGTCTTTCTACCGCCAAACAACTCGATTCGTAAGCTATTCAGAATAAGGGGATTCTACGATTACATTACTATATCTAGACTTCTAAGAGCCCATCCGTTAATCACGTTATGCTTTTTAGCATTTTTTAATTCCGCTTTTGGTGAGTGGAGACTTTTAATACTAACCAACCACCACGACCAAAATTACGGGAATTTTTAGTACCTACAAAGAATCATAAAATGTTAATAATAATATTTTTAAAGACACGGTACTATGAAGTATAATTTAACTTTATTCTAGAAATAACAAGGTCACTACACGCCGCTTTTTAGTTTCGAAATCGCGCGTTTGACGAAAAATAAATACATGTGATATACACTATACTACCGTCCCTTGTCATATTTTGTGATGTCCTATCCCCTTTCGAGCATCACATGACTAATGGATAGCCCCTAACTCAATACCTAACGCAAATAGCTGCTTGGCGGTAGAAATACGCAGACGACTTTGTCTAGCTTTGAGAAAATGCTATCAGTAATTTCGACATCATAAGTCTATAATTTCCAGTATACAAGTTTTAAAAGCAAAATAGAATGTTTAAAACTTTGCTTATAAATATTGGCTATAAATCTTACATTTAAATACAATGCATACAACCAGTATTGCTATGTGGGTATTGGTCAACAGCAGTTAATGTTTGTCTAAGTAATTTAACATTATTATCACATTTTTAAAGGCCAACTAAGTCAGTAACACCAAAGTTGTTAAGTTTTAGAAATATATTTAGAGAATAACAACTCTTAGAGAATATATATTACTTTAAAAATTACCATATCTATAAGAGTGATCACACTAAAACAATTTATAGCTTTGTAGGTACTATAATAATGCAAAATATATTAACAATGTGATAAATAATAAAAATCTAAAACTACTACATATTTGTCTATGATATGTCGCATTTAAATTGCAGAACAAAACAGTAGAAGTTTTATTATGTTTATATTATACACTGATGAATGGATGAGCAAAAGGAAATCCATTCACTTAAATCATAATAATATAATTTATACTGGTTGTATATGTAACATATAAAAAATATAATATCTCATGCATTTTTAATATGTATGAAGACATGCTTTAACGAATATAAGTACTTAAATGGTAATAGAATAACTTTATTAAAACCATTAATTAATCAATAGTTTGATTAATAATTCAAATTAAGAATATTTAACACAAAAGCTATAAATTATAAACAACTACACAATTCATCATTACAGACATTGCATTCAACATTCAGAAACTAAAAGTTTCATTCTAATTTTAAAAATAATAGACAATAAGTTTTATATTTTTTAATATACATATGTACAGATCAGACTGTTCATGCAATGTGCCATGCTTGTGTTGAAATATGGACAAATGCATTGTAAGCATTGAACAGAGTCACTTACAAAAACTTTGTTAGTACCGGGTAACAGGTATTTAAGTGTGTTTACTCTTTATATATATAAAGTTCACTTATATATAAGAGAACTCTGTAAAAAAATCACATCGTTTTATAAATGTAGAATGTTTTTTTTCATAACCACTGTATATAAAATGTACATATTTAGAGATATTGTATAATTGAATTAATGGATATAGTAGAACACATAATTAATTAAATAATTACCTAAGTTTATATTTAAATACTTACATACTATTTATCACATAAAAAAAATTGAATAAATTTTACTATAATAGCAATGTTATAGTAAAATTTATGCACTAATAAACATTAAAAGTACCTAAACTTAACATACTAAACGCGTAAAATAGTAATTAATTCCAGCTTTCATAACTTTATCATTTTTTTCATAATATTAAAAAATATATATTATAAGAATTAAATACGTAAAATATGGAGCTTAAAATTACATGTTGAATAGCTTTAGTAGAGTCTAGTGAATTGTTTTTAAACTTTAAATTCATATATAATTTTGTTTAAAAATAGTAACTTTAACGTAAATATATATCTCGATATTAAAATAAATATTTATAATTAATAACATACCGGCCTTCCTCCGCGCCGTTGATACCATTTTCTACAGTTGTAGACATTGTTGTTGTCTGTTTGTTCTATTATTAACTCCAAAAATATTATATTCAACAAGAATATTTTTTCGTCCCTCGCATTCTCATCTGTACCTGTAAATAAAAATAAATACTTGTTAAAAATCTTTAATGTACGTAAATAATCTAAAAACGTTACTTAAAAATTATCTATAAGACTGTTTATAATTTATTTGTAGTGTTCAAGACAAAAACTTATAAAAAAATTATTACAGTTCAAATTTCGTATTTTTTATTATCGATCGATTCTCTTGAAATAAAACGCCAATATTATATAGCATACACATCAGTCAAAATCAGACAAATGAGAGTAATGAATGAAGTTCTGAAATTGACATTACATTATTGACAAAAGAAGGCTAGTCAGGACAGTTGACTCAGATACATTATTGTCATCTACTCTACACTATTGATTGATAGTTTGTCAATGATTTATTGCAGCTTTAGTTTTAGTACGAACAGATAAATTAAGTTTTAATAAAAACTTAATTTCTCTGTAGAACATTTTGAAGTAACAATTTCAAATAATATGAATTAATTAGTATAGGCAATAACAATTAATGTATTTGAAAATTTGTAATAGAAACAAATTGTCTTTTGATTTAAATAAAGCAAAATAAAATTCCAAATTGCAGCAGTTTAAAATAAATCTAATTGTATGATTACATTATTTAAACATTGAATACAAAGGATCGTTTTTCAATATCTATATTGATACTCCAATATTATACACAACATATTGTCAATGCTTCCAAAGACGATTGACACTCATGTAAATATTATTGTCAATGTCAAAAATGACAGATTTCATTCAACAAACTTTGAATTTCGAGTAAATAATATATGAATTTCTTGAATATCTATTATTAATAACAATATATATATATATTACTCAGTGTTAATTTGGTTTGGTTAATTTATTCAGTGATAACTGTGTAGTTTTATATTAATGTTTCATAATTCATCATGACTAAAATGGAAGCGAAATCAGAAGTCGAAGGTGAGTCAGATATTTTCAAAATAAATACTTTTCCATACTTCGTTTCTTAGAATATTATTAGAGTATTTATTAAATTATATTCCTATATACATGTTTTTAAATATATTTATCAAATAACAGTGTTTCGGTATAGGTTATAGGAGATAATGTTTTAGGTTAAAGATAAACAAGTATAAAAACAGAACAGTTATATTTAATTAGAAATTTGTATTTTGTTATGTTAATTGTTATAATTGATTTCCGCCTGCTAGATATAAATTTTAAGAACAATACCCTAGGGTTGAATTTTGTATTTCTATATATATATAACTTAAAGGTGACTGACATAGTGATCTATCAACGCACAGCCCAAACCATTGGACGGATCGGTCTGAAATTTGATATGCAGGTAGATGTTATGACGTAGGCATCCGCTAAGAGAGGATTTTGATTAATTTTACCCCCAAGGGGATAAAATAGAGGACGAGAGTTAATATGAAACTTTGTCAATTTTAAACCGATCTGGCTGAGACTTTGCTTGCATAAATCTACTATGACGTAAGAATCCCCTAAGAAAGGATTTTGATAAATTCTACCCCTAAGGGGATAAATTAATGTGAGTGAAGCTGCGAGCAAAAGCTAGTTCATACATAAATTTGTAATGACATTTGCTATTACTAATGTGTAAAGGTGATTATTATCTCCGTTGTTAGCAGGGTATCCTGTCTGGTTTACCTTCATACAGTTCCACCTATAAACCATCATGATTAATTCCTGGTAAATGTGCTATGAAGGGCTGTATGCTTGTTTGCCACCTATGTGGTATAAAAAAAACCATGATGGGCTAACTGACTTGACTTCGTCCACATCCTACCATTCCCTTCATATTCCGTACCAATATATACTGTCAGCACAGGTGCATCAAGTATTCCATAATGATTCTTAAAAAAATATGCCACTGGTTAAATAAAAATTAATACAGAAAGTGCAATATTATTTCTCCAACTTATATATTTATAATCGATTAACTTGATCTGTATTGATCAAATTATAAAATCATTTATTCAAGTAGGACATATTAGCTGCTTATGAATGTAATATTTTTTACATTATATTTTTCTCCCTACCTGTCCAGTTCAGTATATAGATACAATTGACAAGAACTGGCAAGAAACGCAATTGATTTTTTTTTACATTTTTAACATTTTATCTGAGAACTATAAAATGGCATTAAGTAGAATCGATCAGTTACAGGAAATCAGCATGTATTAAGGAATTCATACATCTTTTTTATGCAAGGTATCATTGCAATCAACCATATTTTAAAATAGCACAATAACCTAATCCATCATGATGCCACAAGTCTATATAATTATATATATAATTAGATGCTACATTTATGTATTATTGTTAACCACTTTTGATTATTTACATAACCTTTCCGTATCCCTACAGTCCAGTTCAGCTAGCTACTTCAGTTAAGAACAACTGGTAAAAAACTCAACTAATATTTTTTTAATTATGTTATTCGGTTGTAAGGTGTACATAGCGCGGTAAGATTACAGGATATGGTATTTAATTCTCTGTAATGGCGATTAATGAGTGGTGCCATAGTTGTCACATGTCTGTAGAGCTATTTATGTATATAGGCGACCACCTACTATCAAGTATGCCATTAGTTTGTTTTCCATTCCAGATACATAAAAAAATCTTTGTGCTTTTATTATGGTTTACTTCTATATTGTCTTAGGCTAGCAATTAAATCTTTTACGGACATCCTTACTGTAGAATACAGTGTTACAAGGTGATATAATTCTTTCTCAATTGAAATCAGTTTTTAGTGTGACATTATAAGTGTTCTAGGCACATAAAATCAATGAAGATACATGCACATTAATATACACTACGGAAGCAATAAATCATTAGCATCAAAGTCCAAGGTAATGTACTTACATATTTTATAAATGCTGGAATTTATTACTGGCAGGAATTCCATTTTATATCTACATAATAATTTATACAATTTACATAAATTTTAATGAGGAGAGAGTGGGAACTTTGTGTGTAGGGACACTTGCAGACCTGTTTAAAACAATATAAGACTTGAGTACTTTATTTTTGATGGACATAGGCTATTTGTAAATTGTTTAAGCGAACTTAAGTCGGAAAGTTAGTACACACGGTCAAATAAAGCATAAAAAGCTGGAAGCTACTGTTACTATTATATCACTTTTTATGACCCCTCCGATCGATCCCCCGTCCAATTCAAACGGGGACCGATGTTACGACGGCCTGAGTCGAGGTTCGAACCCCTAGTGGTGCCCTCAGACTAAAGTCGTATCCGTCAGGCGGGAGTTGGCCTTCAGCCGCTTCATAAGTCCTTCCGTGGGTTTGGAGTGCCATCTGCACTCGCCTCCTGTCGTCCTTTGAAGCTGTAAAGGCTGTGACCAACAGCATTAGAGTATTCCGAAAAAAAAAAAAAGTTTTTTATATATAATTATTTATTTATATTTTTTGCCTAGATTTTTTATGATTATATTTGCACCGCCAACCTTAATTCTCCTCTATCCTCTATTACTTTATTAAGAGCGTATTAAGTCTCCCTAACCAAAAATAATTCCTACAGTGAGTCTTAGATAGAATTCTGACTCTATCCCTCCGACGAACACGACCAAGATATCTAGATAATTTTAGTAAGTAAGAGTCTAACAAGTTCCCCATTACTGGCTGGATTCAGCGATTCATCGGGTGAATGATCTCTGTGTAGACTTTGAACAAGTTATAAAGTTTAATATAAGAAATTTTTAAGGAAGGAAGGAAGTAATTTTTTAGGATCTTCATGTGGAATTGCATGATTGTAAACATTTAATATCTTTATTCATGTAGGTTTAATACAGACTCTTATATGTCAAATCTACCGTCAGTTCGGGGTGCTTTGAAGCTGAGAAGAACGTACAAGATCTTTTCTAATAAGCTGGTATATGTTTACAAAAATATTGATTCATTTTTTAATTCATAGGAGATTTTTTTCATGGTTTTTATGTAGAATTGCATGATTGTATACATTTTTTTACACTAAATTACATATTTTTTACACTATTACAGACTAAATGTCAAATCTACCGTCAGTTCGGAGTGCTTTCGAGCTGTGAAGAACTGACAAGAGACTCAGCTCTTATTCCTTTCAAATGAGCTGGTATATGTTTACAAAAATATGGATTCATTTTTAAATTCAAAGTGAGAATTTTTGCACGGTTATTTTTACAATTGTACGCATTATGTCAACGAGATATTTCGTTTGGTAATATTATTTAAGAGCTTCCGATATTTCGACGCCGTTGCAAACATTCTGCTCATGGATTCACTATACATTTTAGTGTGTTATAGATACAGTAAACACAGAGAGTTTTGTTAGATTCTTTAAGTAGCAACGTACAGAGTCCACAGACATGACGTGGCTTAATACAAAGGGGTCATACAGTATCTCATGATTTGCTGGACCCGTGCTGATAAAGCGTACACCAGTTTTTATTTTCAACTAATTCTAATTATACTCTTAAAATATCGTTAATATTTGTTTAACATATATATTTTTTCCCCTCATTCGTCCGCCTTTTTTTTTAATTATGGTACAGGCAATGATCCTTAGAATTTACAGATGTATATCTGAACGAGAACTATACTGGAATCATAGAACAGGCCATAGAGTTAGTATACTTACTCTACGCTAGAGTCCAACTTTGATTTATGAATAGTTCGTGTCAGTGTCTAATAGAGAAGTAGTTTCTGTACCCATCTAATACGAATGAAATAAATATATGCATGGCGAACTTAAAACTTAGAGCCAATTAATTATAGTATATATAGATACCTATTTAACTATTTTCTTATGATAACACAAACTGACATTTATACTCCAATTAAAAAATGGCTATTTTCATATTTAACAAATTTGGGGCAAAGATAATTATATAAAGCATAGATTCTTCACCCCTGACGATTTTACAGATAAAATATTATATTAATACCGACGTTTTATTTATTTATTGATATTAACTCGTGTTTATCTGGACACTGGTAGACCGTTGCGTAACTATGACGCCAATCCATCTCCGGGGGCGTGGCTTGACGTCAGCTGGTCTGTACGGATGTGTGTGAATTCGCAGTCTATTTCTACCATGAGCTTGTTTTCAATGTAAGCTGTTAACCAGGTTCTATTTTGTACCAAGGTCGGTTCCTGAAGGGTATTGTGAATTGTAGCAGGCGACGTCAGCGGCTGTGGGTTTTTTAATTTTAGAATACTTTTCTACGCGCTCTTTTTGAGCGTGACAGTGAGATGGCGCCAAATCTTTATTTTTTTTATTGTATTGTATTCGCGGCTAATTAGTTAGTGTTATTGGCGGCAAACGAACAAAATCATAGACAAAGAAACGTGCTATAGATGTTTTATACGTAGAATTGTTTTTGCGCAACTCACCTGGAATTAATGTCGTGCTGAAGTTTTGCGGTTTACTGTACTTTAGCTAGATTTATTCAAAAGCCTTAATATTAAAATTAAGGTACGCAGATAAATGGTACTAAAATAATTTTAAAGTCGTTTGTAATAATATCAGACTCAAGGATTTACGTTGTAATATTACTGCATACACTTCAAGCTTTAAAAGGTACATTTTGATAAGGTTATTGAACTCTTTTGAGCAAAATGTAATTTTAAATTTAATAAATATTTTAATAGTAATGGATTGAAATTAATGATAGTAAGATGTCCAGATAATATTGTTATTGTGTTTGTTTAATTGCTCCAATGTTTGGGCATGTAAATTATAAATATGTTAAAAATATAATAAATATTTTAAAATTAAACAATAATGTCTATAGTCTTATTAATGTTATAAATGCTAAGGTCTATGGGTATGGATGGATAGATGGATAAATGGATGTTTGTTAGTCTGTCTTAGCAAAAACTACTGAACGGATTTTGATTAAATTTACAGTATATATAGTTTAGCTCACCGCTTTAC